GTTAGTAACTTGATTTATTCTTAGAGGTTGAAGCGGTCAAAAATAAGGAGAATCCTCAATTGTTGACATGATGAACTGCAATTAGTGACGTCTAACCAAACTTAGTGGTGTAAGAGTTTAGTTTTGGAAATTAACTTTAGAATACACCTTGGGAAGTGAAAAGAGAATAAGTTTGGGGGTGTGTGAAACCCACGAGCGAAGTTAGGAAATATTTGACTTTTAAGGTCGGGAATTGAATCAATTTACTATTGTACAGCGTTGCAATTAACTTCTCACACATACACCCGTTTTGCATTGAATAGGTGAGAATTTTAACTTGCGCATTATAACTTTGAAATAATTCATGCAATTGACGCTATGTTTTCAATCTCGAGCCATGAAGGCAAGCTATTTAGCAAAATTTGTTTTAAGTGATTTTGTTTGTCTTAGTTGTGTTTGTATGTCCATTAATTATTTTTATTGGTTTGGTGTTTGCTCGAGGACAAGCAAAAAGTTAAGTTTGGGGGTGTTTGATAAGTATATTTTATATACTTATTCGTGCGAAATATATTCCTAAATTGTTGTTTTTATGTTTAATAGGTGGATTTCGACGAATAAAAAGGAATGAAAGGAAAGAAGCAAAAATGGGCGGAAATAGCAAAATCCCAAGTACGTGGATTAAATTGGCCATTGGATACAATTTTTGGGAATCAAAGTCTAACTATAAAAAGTGGACTGATTTGCATCGCTTCAAAAATTTAGTACTGGGAGAAAAATAATTGATTAAATGGCCTTCAATTGGACTGGCCTTGGAATTCAAATTTAATATTTTTTTGGACCCCTACTTGGGCTACAACAAGGGTTTAATTGTTGAGGTATATATATACAAAAGTATGGAGAATTAGAGGGGAAGCCGAGGGAATTGCAAAATTGGCGGCTGCTGGAGGAATTAAACAGAGGACTCAAAACAATAATTAGGCAACCTAGATTATTAGATAATGCACAAAATCCGAGAGAAGGAGAATTAATAGAGTCTGTCGGCGCTGAAATTTATTACATATCACACGGAAATCGAAGCGGGAGAAGAGGCAGATTTGAGCAACACATACAAACACATAAGCGGCTTCTTTTCAAGGTGCTTTGGCTGAAATTGAATTGTGGAATTAACAATAAAAGTGGCAGATTACACGGAGACGGACGCGCGGCAGAGAGAAAAAAATTCCAGAACTTTTTTGGTGCAAATAATTCATCAAGATTGTGCCAAGAATTTGGAATTAACTACGTTTCGTCAATTATCGGTGATGTTGTTCCGCTTTTATTTATTTCATTCTCGCATCATGTTTGGCTAATCCCTTTTCACGTATTGGATGATGACAAAATTGTTTAATTTTTAGTTTTAATTCGAGACCTATGTTTTTATGTTAATTATTGCGTTGTGATTTCATTAATATGCACAATTAGATTGTTTTAATGTATGCGCACTATTAGGATAATAAGTTGCTTTTTCGTAGTGTTGGAAAACTCACGATAGGTAGAACACTATTATTAGGATACATGGGCAATAAATATTAGGAATAGTATTTGTGGCGTGTGCGATCTTATATGATAATCCTAAGTGTCAATGCATGTTTGCCTTATGAATTCGAACTAGGAATAGGATCGTCTCGTGGTAATCATAAGTTTATTATATCTTGAGAAAGAATAATAAATAAATAAATAAATAAACGGAATTATCGATCATCGCAATTGCATAAATTGAGATAATTATTATTGGTTGAGAATTAGAACTAAGAATTAATCAATGACGTCGGAAATCCAATACGTTTACATATTTGAATTTTTAAACCAAATTTAATTATTTTCACAAGTTTTAGTTATAAAAATTATTTAGCTATTCCCTCGATCGTTTTTTTTGTTACAAATACGAATTAACTATATCAAATATACTAAAATTTATCCTTATTCCCTGTGGAACGATAACTCTCTCATCACGATTATTACTTGTACAACGAACCCGTACGCTTGCGGGATTTTGATGAACACTTCACTCACAATTTTTACTCTCATCATTTCCACCAGTTTGTCATAGGTGGAGGGATTCTCGCTGCGCACGTCCCTCCAGAACAAAGTGTTCATGTTGAGCCCGCCTTTCTGGGTTGAAAGGGCTTCTTTGTCAGTGACCTATTCACAGTATGTGATTTCGTTTGTAAACCTGGAGAGATAGCTTTTCAGCGTCTCCCCAGGTGCCTGCCTCATATCTTGCAAGCGTTACACTGGTGCCTCTCTTTCTCTGCGTGAGAGGTATTGGTTCAAGAATACTTTCTTCAAATCTGGCCTACTTCTAATGCTTAGGGAAGGAAGCATGTTGTACCACACTTTGACGGTTCTGCCTAGTGTTAAATGGAAGGCTCTGCATTTCAAAGCGGACGAGGCTCCCCTTAGGCTCATCTGTGTCATGTACTTGGTGAGGTGCTTCTCCGGGTCCCCCTTTCCTTATACTTGGAGATCTCAGGGGGCATGAAATTTATTGGCATTGGGAAGCTTCGAATCTCCCTTGAGAAAGGGAGGTTATCATCATTATCGTCAATCTCATAAGACCGACAGCGTCCATCGGACCCTTCATCATCTTGAATGCTCTGAAGAGGTGGAGGTGATTCTCCTCGACTTCCCCAATTCCTGATCTGGTCGAACTGATCTTCTCACCGGATGGACCCCATTGCTAGGATCCTCCCCTATCTAGTCGAAGACGCATGCTGACCTTTGTTCCCCGTATTCTTGAGGAAAATTGTCCCCCAAGTGTGGTTCTGATGGCTAGTTCCCTTGCATATGAGATGTCACTTCGGCGTTCATCTCTCTTTCGAGGGGGCGTTTTGTGTGCCGGCTCATGTGGCCTCGGGAGTGAGATACAGGAGCTTCCTGCACCGGATATGATCCTTGGAGCATTTGATAGCCCTGATGATCCTGGGTTTGCATGAGGAGTTCATACATTGCCATATTCTGAGCTGCGATGTCTCTCATACCCGCAGCTATTTGAGCCATTCCTTCCGTGAGCATGGCTGTTCTTCCACCTCGGCGACACTGGTGATGGGGTCTCTAATGAGTAACATTGTTATGGAGCACCTCTTCTTCAGAGGTCTCTCTCATGTGGTTGTCGTCTTCATGGCTATAACTCATCCTATTTCCTTTTTCAAGGGTGGTGAGAACTTGGATTGTAACTTGACTTTGTTCTTTTTCAACTTGCTATGGAGTGCTATGTAGTAAGAGTTTCATTACCTTTGCTTCTTGCCAAACCTTGGATATTTATAGGTGGGATGAACCGTTGGATGTGGGACATGTGTATACATCTGACGGTATGAGGCGTCCGCTCATAGGCATCAATTAACCGCATCTGTAGAGTGGGCGGGCAGCTTGTTTCTCTTGAGTTGAGTTGACATAAAGTTGATAAGTCATATCACTAGCCTCATGGAGACGTCAAATCAATTTAAATCTTAGGTGGAGAGAGGATCTTGGCACAAATCTCTTTCTAAAATTGGCGGCGGATCTTTTGACAGAGGTCCACTTGGCCTCGGCCTCGAAGGCGAGGAGCTTCGGTCAGTTTAGTAGTTTCGCTTATATCTCGCAGTGTGCTACCAAGTCGTTGACATTGGTGATATCACTTCGAAAACACTTCGGATGGGCGTCTATCAAGTCGGAATGTGTGGTGGTTGACATTCCGAAGCGGTTCAGATAATAGGGGCGTAACACGTCTGTCAAAAACAAAACTTTATACTTTTTAATCACATATTCTTCTAAAAAATTTCTATTCGAAACTCCTTTTTCTACTAAAATGACAGGCTCTGATTTAAAATATTGAAGATTTTTTGCAAGAATAACTGCCCCTACACTATAAATATTTTGATCTTGCAAGAAAAGTACATATAATAATAATAATAATAATAATAATAATAATAATATTTAAAGAAAACAAGCCAAATACAGTCATTGAGGGGATTTACATACCTTTAGGCTTGGATGAAATTTTATTTATCAAAAGTTTAATACATGCATAATATAAGTGATAATGAGATATGAACTTAGATCTTCACTTGATTCCAATACCATGTTATCTTAAAGTCCAAATTGTAAGAGATTAACTACGTATTCAATAATAATAATAATAATAATAATAATAATAATAATATTTAAAGAAAACAAGCCAAATACAGTCATTGAGGGGATTTACATACCTTTAGGCTTGGATGAAATTTTATTTATCAAAAGTTTAATACATGCATAATATAAGTGATAATGAGATATGAACTTAGATCTTCACTTGATTCCAATACCATGTTATCTTAAAGTCCAAATTGTAAGAGATTAACTACGTATTCATTAAATCTTTGTTTCAATAAAATCAAGCGAAAACGATAATAAAAAATAATATAAGATTTAGCCCATGTTTGATTCGAATTAAAATTCGATGAAAATCTCAAATCAAAGTCAACAAATATTCATCAATTTTTATATTAAAAAAACCTATTAAAAATATGGTTTTAACCTACACTAAACAAGAGCTTACTTGATTTGATATTTACATTAAATATTAGTTTAAAAAAAAATACTATCTTTATGTTAATTTAATGAATCGATGAATGGCTACTCAACCCCCCCCCCCCCCCCAATGGCATAAAAGTAATGGAAAAATGATTTGACAACATTCCAATATTAAATTTGACGCAAATTAAAATGTGACAAACCCAAGTAATAAAGACCAGGAGTTGAATTCAAATATACTTAGTTCGAACCTTTAAAATCAGAGTCAAACTCAACATTATAAACACTTCCTAAACACACGCTAGCTAGTTCGGGACGAATAGGTTTTCTCTTTTCAAAACATACAATAATTGTGGTAATAGGTGTTACAACTGAAAGTCCACAAAAGTATTCATATCGATACGCGGCTCAAGTTAGTGACATTTATGTCAATTTGTACTTACTATCTATATCCCATTTGGGCCAGATAGTGTTCTTCCTCTTCTACTCGAACAAAGATGTTGTTGAAAAGACTTCTTAAGAAGCAGGCAAATCGTCCGTTCATGGCGTATACTCTTGTCAAAAAATTTCATGGCGTAGTGTAAAGAGAGACTCTTTTTGTGATAACGAGCAATTTGGATTGCATAATCAATGGTTTTTTTCCTCCATAGAAATCATTCCAAATCTCTCTCAATCTCAACCCTTCTAAAGAGTGGTTTCACTCCAACTCTCAATGACTTCAACGATTTCCTTATCTTCCTCACTCGAAATCAAAGATTTAATGCCATTATTCACTTCTTTTCTCAGCTTACCTTTAATAAAATCAAAGGTGACTCCCAAACCCACACAATCTTCACCAAGGCTTTAATAAAAGAGCACAAATATGAAGCTGCTGCAGATTTCTTGAGAACCCACTTGCGGAAGTCAAAGATTTTTGATAAAGATCGAATCTTTGATTCTATAGTCCAAGGCGTTTGCATATTTAGTAAAGAACCTGAAAAGGGTCTATCTCTATTGACGAAATTTTTGAAAATGGATGGGGGTATTTTTCCTTCTTCTTATACTTTTTGTTCATTAATTTATTCGTTTAGCTCTATAGGGAAATTAGATAGAGTGGTAGAGGTGTTAGAGTTGATGTCTGATGAGAAACTCAATTACCCTTTTAATAATTTTGTTTCTAGTTCCGTGATTTCTGGATTTGTGAGGATTGGGAAGCCTGAACTTGCAGTTGGGTTTTTTGAGAATGCTGTAAAGTCAGGTTCTCTGAAGCCTAATGTTGTTACTTGTACAGCTCTTATGAGTGCTTATTGTAAACTAAGGAGAATTGATGATGTTTTAAATTTAGTTACTTGGATGGAAAATAACGGGTTGGCATTTGATGTTGAATTTTATAGCAATTGGATATACGGGTATTTGAGGGAAGGAATAGTCTGTGAGGCATTTCAAAAATATAGAGAAATGGTAGATAGGAATTTGGAGTTGGATGCTATTGGTTATACTATACTTATAGATGGGTTTGCGAAGGATGGAAACGTGGAAAAGGCTGTTGGATTTTTGTACAAGATGAGGAAGGATGGAGTGGAACCGAATTTAGTTACTTACACTGCGATTATTATGGGATTCTGCAAGAAGGGGAAATTACAGGAGGCATTTGCAATGTTTAGAATGATTGTAGATTTTGGAATTGAGGTTGATGAATTTACTTATGCAATTTTGATAGATGGAGTTTGCAGGAGGGGTGATTTTGAAGGTGTTTTACAGCTGCTCGATGAAATGGTGGAGAAAGGTATAAATCCAAGTGTTATTACATACAATACCGTCATTAACGGATTGTGCAAAGCTGGAAGAATGTCTGAAGCAGATGATTTCTCTAAGGGCATAGTTGGAGATGTCATCACGTACACTACATTGTTACATGGATATGTTGAAGAAAGGAGTGTGTCAGGGATTTTAGAAACAAAGAGGAGACTGGAAATGGCTGATATTCAAATGGATGCAGTCATGTGTAACATACTAATTAAAGCACTAGTTAACGTGGGCTTATTTGAGGATGCTTTTGCTGTTTATAATGCACTACCAAAAATGAACTTGTCTGCAGATTCCGTTACTTATTGTACTCTGATTGAAGGATACTGTAAAGCAGGTAGAATTGATGAGGCTCTTGAAATGTTCAATGATTTCAGGAAATCATCTAATTTTTCAGCTGCTAGTTACTATAGTATTATTTTTGGGCTTTGCAGAAAGGGCATGGCAGATATAGCAATTGACATTTACATGGAATACATTGAGAGAGGTTTACCTCTGAATAAATCAATGTATCAGATGTTGATGAGAGCAACATTTAAAGAAAAAGGTGCGGATGGCCTTTTAAATGTGATTCACGGAATGGAAAATGTTGCAGTTGAAATATTTGATATTATATGTAATGATGCAATTTGTCTTCTATGCAAAAAGGGTTTTCCTGAGGCTGCGTGCAGTGCATTACTGTTGATGAGAAGGAAAGAATCAATGATAACAAGCAAGTGTTACTATTCAATCTTGAGACTTCTTCTTTTTTATGGCAAAAAATCATTGGCTCAGCCTATCTTGACTGACTTTGTTAAAGTTCATGGCATGTCTGATCTTAGAGTGAGCAGGATAATATTATATTACCTGTGTTTCAGTGACGTAAAAAATGCACTTAAATTTCTTGCAAAGACGAAAGAGATGTCATGGTCTATCACTATTCCTTTTGCTGTTCTCGAGACACTTGCAAAAGATGGTAGGGTTTTGGATGCATATGAGCTTCTTGTGGGTGCAGAAAATAATGCCCCTGTTATGAATGTAGTTGACTACTCAGTTATAATTGATGCGCTTTGCAAGGAAGGGCACATAGATAAGGCTTTAGATCTTTGCTCTTTTGCTAAGAATAAAAGGATAGCTCTCAACATCGTCACTTATAATTCAGTCATAAAGGGGTTGTGCCGCCAAGGGTGTCTGGTTGAAGCTTTTAGATTGTTTGATGCATTGGAGAAAATTGATGTGGTTCCTTCTGAAATTACATATGGTACACTGATTGATGCTTTAACGAAAGAAAGAATGATACAGGATGCCAGGATGCTGTTTGAAAAGATGTTCCTCAAGAACCTTAGGCCCAATGCTCATATTTACAATTCGTTAATTAATGGGTATTGCAAGTCAAATCTACTTGAGGAAGCTCTAAAACTTCTCGAGGATTTACGGGTTAGACACCTTAAGCCAGATGGATTCACTGTTGGTGCTCTGATCAATGGTTATTGCCTGAAGAGCGACATGGAAGGAGCTCTAAAATTCTTTCTTGAGTTTAAAAACAAGGGCTTATTACCAGATTTCCTGGGTTTTATGTTTCTGATTCGGGGCCTGTGTGCCAAAGGAAGGATGGAAGAGTCTCGGAGCATTTTAAGGGAGATGCTTCAGGCTGAATCTGTCATTGATCTCCTCAGAAGAGTTGATAGTGAAGTTGAATCAGAGTCGGTAGAAAGAGTTCTCACCTTTCTGTGTGAGCAAGGAAGTATTGTAGAGGCTGTTGCTGTGCTTGATGAAGTTGGATCCATGTTTTTCTCTTCTGGGAGGAGTTCCCGTGCTTGCAATGGATTGAATCCACATGATATGAAATCAAATACTGAATTTGAGCCGTCAATCTGCCATGCAATCAATTTGCATGCTCAGTCATGTGGCATTGAAAACTTAGAAAATATGCCTGAGTTTCATGATGATCTAGAAAGCAAAACATATAATTGGCAAGGATTTGATTCTTATTATGCTCTTGTTTATTCACTGTGTTCTAAAGGGGAGCTCTCGAAGGCAAATAGACTGGCAAAAAAGCTCGTGGATTTCGGGTAGAGGTTTGTAGCAAAATCTCCTAATACTTGCTTTGAGGGCCTAGGGAGATCTCCTTCTCTCTTCATTGCAGGGAAGTAGCCATACACACGCATCTGTAGGTATGTTCATTTTAATATCTAAGTGTTAAAATATTGTATTAAACTATTTTAGGATGTAGTTTGAACATATCGGTATTCAGGTGGTACAGAAATTATAAGAAGTTAGCTTCTTGTCATGGTTATTTCTCTTCCTGACTTGTGGAAGAGACTACGAAAATTAATTTGCATGTAGGAAACTTATAGAATCTAAGTAGCATTGAATAAGGATACAACATGACAAAGCCTCGTGGACACGTCATTTTTTTTTTCATAATGGGATATGATAATTGCGCAGTGCAATTATGAATAATCAAATGATCTAGTATGCATATGGGCGTGTACATATGCATAAGCTTTTTCATCCACATCCTTACAGGTGTATACTTTGTAATGCCCGAATAATTATAAACCCGGAGAGTTACCTAAACCCATTTCTTGACATGAATATTACTAAAGCTATACTAAAATTTTATAATTTGAAACAAACAATCTAATGTGAACAAGGCCTGGTTTATATATTAAAAAATACTTAAAATAATACACTTTTTATGGAAAATCAGCGACCTTACAATGAGTCAAATAAACGTAAGAACATGTTCATGTTTCCAAACTTAAATGCATAATGCATAAAATAAATTGATTTGGTCTCCAAAAGAAAAAAAAATCCCTTTATTTTATAATCTGAGTCAATGCTTGGTTAATCCCAGGCACAGCAACACCACTTATGATCCAACCACTTAGGATCCAACCATAATTTTGCATATCTGATATTAAATTTTCATTATATGATGTTACAGTAAACATGAATACACAAGGAACATTACATTTCAAGATTGATTATAAGCATCAACCCACATATTAATAACTTCAAATCTGAATAATTTCTTTTGAAAAATCATGCTATTTGATTTTGAGCCTAACATGTAGTGCGGGATAAAGTGACTTAAAATATTGTAGTTTTAACTGGTTGATTCTGTCATTCACAAACATAAATCTCAGTGAACAACACTACAGGCCAGGTTAGCGGTTGGCTTTGAGACTTATTGTCAGATGGCTGGTCAAAGAACTGCAGTAGCAATTCGTCGCCTGTAAGAACTTCAGTAGCAATCCCGTCGTCTGTAAAAACTTCTTTCTCCATCTGATAAACATGAATACACAAGGAACATTACATTTCAAGATTGATTATAAGCATCAACCCACATATTAATAACTTCAAATCTGAATAATGTCTTTTGAAAAATCATGCTATTTGATTTTGAGCCTAACATGTAGTGCGGGATAAAGTGACTTAAAATATTGTAGTTTTGACTGGTTGATTCTGTCATTCACAAACATAAATCTCAGTGAACAACACTGCAGGCCAGGTTAGCGGTTGGCTTTGAGACTTATTGTCAGATGGCTGGTCAAAGAACTGCAGTAGCAATCCGTCGCCTGTAAGAACTTCAGTAGCAATCCGTCGTCTGTAAAAACTTCTTTCTCCATCTGACAGATGCAAATATTGATTGTATACGAATCATATGATTTAGGTTGAATTGGTTTTGCACTTGCAACAATAGGACGTATGTGAGAAACTGGCGGATGACCTGATCATGCAATCAGCCTTGTATTTTCTGTTTCTTACATTTGAATGAATATTTAGCTAATCTGACATTTTTCCCCATTTTCCACATGCAGGTTCATCATGCTACGATCATAGCCATATGGTTTGTAGATTCCATCAGAATAAATATGTTTTGAGATTTATAAGGCAATCAATGAAGAAGGTACTCTCCTGAAACTTGCTCTTTATGGACATTGTACAGTGATTGTGGACGTAAAATATGAAAATACATTAATTAGATAATTTTTTGGTAATAGCAGCACTACAAGGACTTGTTTGGTATGTTGGATTGAACAAACTAAACGAGATAAAGGAAAAAAGGTGTACGATAATTTCTGATTTTGTCATGCCCAATCTAATAAACCAAATATGTTTCATAAATATGCGTATGTTACATGTTTTAAGATTTTTATAAATTGATAATTAGTTTTATAATAATAATAATAATAATAATAATAATAATAATAATAATTATTATTATTATTATTATTATTTTTGTCTTAAATGAACATCTGCTAAAAATGTGTAGTTCCCTTGTCATTTGAATCCTCGTAGTAACTAATAAAATTATCGCATTTAGCTTTTGATAGGGTTTTATATAAATCTAAAATCTTTAAAATTTAGGGGTTGGCATTCTAAATCTCAACCCATTAAAGATTTTGACACCATTAAGATGAACGATTTATATAACTTATTGAGAAGACCGAAAGATTAACCACAACTCACTCTTTTCAGATTAATTCTTAGATAAAATTTAGCTAATTCTTCAGATTATTTCTATCTTTTGGATTTAGATATTGGGACCCTTTACTTACATATAGCCATTAAATTCACGGAAAAGATATATTTGTTCCTTGCCTGCCGCCCCCAGCAGAAAAGAAAAGGATTTAACACTTTCAGTTAAACTCGACAGTATTAAAGAAGAAAAAAGAAACAAAATAATCATTTATAGTGTCTAGTACTGCATCCAAATACGTATGTTTCTACAGTTTTGTTCGAAAGGTAACAGAAACAGTAGTATGGTGCATATCTGAAAATGTATCATTTCAAAAGTAAACTACCATTCTTATTCATATTTGAGTTTGTTTTGATTCTTACCCTCATAACTACAGTGACATTAGCTTATTCAGACAAGACTGCGAAGATAATTACGCAACAGACTTGGATTCTTCTTGAATTTTGGGACTTGTTCGAGGGCTTCAACGTACGCGGGTGATAATCTCCCAGTTATTTTGGAGATATGGGCAATTGCACGCAAACGGTCTCTACACCGAAGAATCTTCATCTTTGGTTGAGGCTCTGGCGGCGGATCGAAGATGAGCATTACACAAGATGCGATGAGAGGTCGTGTTGTTTCATCTCGACCAGCAGTTGGGATGGCTGGGGAAGAAGCTGGTGGTATGGCTGGGGAAGAAGCTAGCGGGATGGCTGAGGAAGAAGACAGGAGCATTGCAGCTGTAATGAAAGTGAGAATGTCCATCAATTTTGTTTTCTTGGTGTACGCTGCCTTTCATGGCTCATCTTCTTGCCTTATAAACTTCAGTTTTGCATTAAAATTGCAGTTATGCGTATTTATTGCGACTTAAAAGATGTAACGCCACTCTTTATTAATATTTAATACTATTTAGTTCCATTCAATAATTCTCTGCACCAAACATGCTAGAAATGGAGTCAAATAAAGACTTCCAAAACGTCATAAACATGTAAAACTTTTTTCACAAATACTATAATTCGACTACCAGGAATTCTACTCCAAAGAAGAAGGGAAAAAAAAAAAAAAAAGGAAATTAAAAATTATTTTCGCAATAAAAATGAAAAAGGAAAAAAAAATTGTTTCTGCCAAGTTCTTCAAAGATTTTACCCACCATACAGCGCTGCAGTCAGTCCCCTGTTCCCACCATTTTTTTTATTTTTTATTTTTTTCCCTTCCTTTTGGGGTATAAACTTAAACAGCCACAAAATTGAGGGGGAAATTAGACCCAAAATCATCCTCAACAACACTGGCAGCAAAGTTCTTTATCTTTAGCTCGGCTTGGAGTATACTCCAATGTTCTTCCAATTGCATTAGTACTAAAAGTGAAGTCATATTGGGGAGCACTCAATTCTATATAAAACAATGCTCTTTACAACAGCAGAAGAAGCTCCACGAGAAATGGCGCAACTCTTGAATCGACCAAAGAATCAACACTGAAGCTATAACCCCACTCATATAGAAGTATAGTTGGAGAAAAGGGCCATCAAATTATTAAGAGTTTCAGGCAAGAATTTCCTAGCAAACAAGTAACACGGACGTTGATTTCCATTCCACAAGCAAGGTCTAATCTGAATTTCCTTCTGCAGCACAAAATGAACAAGTTTTAGAATCCCGATACACCATAACTTAAAACGAAGAATAGTTTTTCACCATGGTGAACTAACCCTTTCGTTGCTTGTAACATGCACACTATCTACAATAGACTGCAAAAACAATTGAAGAGAAGTGTTAGATCTGCTTCAGTAGTCAACTCACAAATAAACTACCATTCTGCTCCCTGCAGGTCTACATATTTAGGCCACCAGATCAATATTCACAGGGAGCAATAATTTTTGATGACATAAATAACTATAAGATAATTTGAGATATAAAGTATCATTTAGCTCTCTGCAAGTCTATATATTGTGGCCACAATACCAGATCAAGATTCATTTGAACCAATATTTTCGATGAATTATAGTTGATTATATGATAATTTGAGATGTTATATCTAAAAATATACTGGAACTCTCAGAACAAGGGAAAAAAGTGGAAGCTATAAATTCAAACGATATAAAGTTTGGGAAGAGTGGAGACGCACTGTAATATTTCTCATTAGCTCAAAGGTAACATCCTGTGACCGATATGCTTTTGGGTGCCACTTTCCTTCAGACCAATCAACATGTGTGACGGACCAATTTGCAATTCCAGCCGGATCAAGAATCTGAAATGAGGAAAAGATATTCCCTTTAAATTATCCGAAGTGGGTGGGTATGTCCTAAATTATACAATAAATAATTAGATATAAACAATCCTCACATGGAAAAATGTTGGCAAATAGTGTTCATCAGAATAGCAGTTGCATCCATATTCCATGCCTGGCTGTTTAATCAAAATATACTGATGTCAACAGTGGTTTCAACGAGAATTTCATCTATCAGCCAAATTTCAAAACATAGATTTTTATTCAAAGCCATATACATGTCTACACAAATAAATAAAGATAACCTGAGGCACATAGAAACCTGAGGCACATAGAATCCTCCTAAGGTGGAGTTTTGGTGTTCGACACTCAGTACACTCCATGACAAGCGTCTCATAGGCTACATGGTGTGTCCTATTTTATTATACATTTTTAATTTTTTGAAACACTTACTTGACACTTCTCTAGCACTTGTCTACAATAACACCTAGTGCATCTGATATTTTTTTAATCATTTTAATTTCTGACATGGGAGGGAGATGTCCTAAACAAGTCAAGGATTTGGTAAAATAAATATTGATTCCTCCGGTTCAAAAAATTCCAACCCCACAATTCGAAACCAAAGCCAAAAAGGTTTTAATTCATAAAAATAGAAAATCATAAAAATGTAGCTTTAATATATATATTTACACTAACATTATGTGCACCTTCAATTGAGGAGAGCTGTTCGAAAATTTTAATCAATCTGTCTAGTCCTACATTCAGGAAACTGATATGTTGTCATGTCCATGTCGTATGCCGTTGGTACTTTGAAGTCCAGCTACTTGACATCCGCGGTTGGGCTAAAGCCGACTTGGTCCCATGCATAAACAGGTTTTATCATTATCTACCAAAACTCTATACTTATTTTGTCCCATATTTTTGGCACGTTAAATTAGGTGGAAAAAAATAAAAAATAAAAACAACTATGAAATCAGATTTTTAATAAATTTTTATAAAAGTTGAAAAATTATAAATCTTATGAAATATATAATTAAAATTAATCGTTGACTTTAATTTGGGATTAAAATTATATTCTAATTTATGCCAAACATGGGCTAAAATTGGCATCTGCATGCTACTTAGTCTTTGTTTGTCTATCATTATTTCAAAACTCTTATTTTTTCTTAAACTCCTTTTCAACTACACATTCACACAATAAAATGTTTTGCATATAAATCGAAAATATTTTCCTATTTTTTAATCATACATTATTCAAAAATTCACCATTCCAAATTCATTTTCATTGAATAATGTTAGACAAATAGTGGGCTTAAAATCACTGAGATAATTCTTTTACTAATTAGTCTATCCTTTAGGCTATTTATGAATAATCAAATGATCTAGAATGCGTATGGGCGTGTACATATGCATAAACTTTTTCATCCACATCCTTACAGGTGTATATTTTGTAATGCCCGAATAATTATAAACCCGGAGAGTTACCTAAAGCCATTTCTTGACATGAATATTACTGAAGCTATAGTAAAATTTTATAATTTGAAACAAACAATCTAATGTGAACAAGGCCTGGTTTATATATTAAAAAATACTTAAAATAATAAACTTTTTTATGGAAAATCAGCGACCTTACAATGAGTCAAGTAAACGTAAGAACATGTTCATGTTTCCAAACTTAAATGCATAAAATAAATTGATTTGGTCTCCAAAAAAAAAAAAAATCCCTTTATTTTATAATCTGAGTCAATGCTTGGTTAATCCCAGGCACAGCAACACCACTTATGATCCAACCACTTAGGATCCAACCATAATTTTGCATATCTGATATTAAATTTTCATTATATGATGTTACAGTAAACATGAATACACAAGGAACATTACATTTCAAGATTGATTATAAGCATCAACCCACATATTAATAACTTCAAATCTGAATAATTTCTTTTGAAAAATCATGCTATTTGATTTTGAGCCTAACATGTAGTGCGGGATAAAGTGACTTAAAATATTATAGTTTTGACTGGTTGATTCTGTCATTCACAAACATAAATCTCAGTGAACAACACTACAGGCCAGGTTAGCGGTTGGCTTTGAGACTTATTGTCAGATGGCTGGTCAAAGAACTGCAGTAGCAATCCGTCGCCTGTAAGAACTTCAGTAGCAATCCGTCGTCTGTAAAAACTTCTTTCTCCATCTGACAGATGCAAATATTGATTGTATACGAATCATATGATTTAGGTTGAATTGGTTTTGCACTTGCAACAATAGGACGTATGTGAGAAACTGGCGGATGACCTGATCATGCAATCAGCCTTGTATTTTCTGTTTCTTACATTTGAATGAATATTTAGCTAATCTGACATTTTTCCCCATTTTCCACATGCAGGTTCATCATGCTACGATCATAGCCATATGGTTTGTAGATTCCATCAGAATAAATATGTTTTGAGATTTATAAGGCAATCAATGAAGAAGGTACTCTCCTGAAACTTGCTCTTTATGGACATTGTACAGTGATTGTGGACGTAAAATATGAAAATACATTAATTAGATAATTTTTTGGTAATAGCAGCACTACAAGGACTTGTTTGGTATGTTGGATTGAACAAACTAAACGGGATAAAGGAAAAAAGGTGTACGATAATTTCTGATTTTGTCATGCCCAATCTAATATACCAAATATGTTTCATAAATATGCGTATGTTACATGTTTTAAGATTTTTATAAATTGATAATTAGTTTTATTTTAATAATAATAATAATAATAATAATAATAATAATTATTATTATTATTATTATTATTATTATTATTATTTTTGTCTTAAATGAACATCTGCTAAAAATGTGTAGTTCCATTGTCATTTGAATCCTCGTAGTAACTAATAAAATTATCGCATTTAGCTTTTGATAGGGTTTTATATAAATCTAAAATCTTTAAAATTTAGGGGTTGGCATTCTAAATCTCAACCCATTAAAGATTTTGACACCATTAAGATGAACGATTTATATAACTTATTGAGAAGACCGAAAGATTAACCACAACTCACTCTTTTCAGATTAATTCTTAGATAAAATTTAGCTAATTCTTCAGATTATTTCTATCTTTTGGATTTAGATATTGGGACCCTTTACTTGCATATAGCCAATAAATTCACGGAAAAGATATATTTGTTCCTTGCCTGCCGCCCCCAGCAGAAAAGAAAAGGATTTAACACTTTCAGTTAAACTCGACAGTATTAAAGAAGAAAAAAGAAACAAAATAATCATTTATAGTGTCTAGTACTGCATCCAAATACGTATGTTTCTACAGTTTTGTTCGAAAGGTAACAGAAACTGTAGTATGGTGCATATCTGAAAATGTATCATTTCAAAAGTAAACTACCATTCTTATTCATATTTGAGTTTGTTTTGATTCTTACCCTCATAACTACAGTGACATTAGCTTATTCAGACAAGACTGCGAAGATAATTACGCAACAGACTTGGATTCTTCTTGAATTTTGGGACTTTTTCGAGGGCTTCAACGTACGCAGGTGATAATCTCCCAGTTATTTTGGAGATATGGGCAATTGCACGCAAACGGTCTCTACACCGAAGAATCTTCATCTTTGGTTGAGGCTCTGGCGGCGGATCGAAGATGAGCATTACACAAGATGCGATGAGAGGTCGTGTTCTTTCATCTGGACCAGCAGTTGGGATGGCTGGGGAAGAAGCTGGTGGTATGGCTGGGGAAGAAGCTAGCGGGATGGCTGAGGAAGAAGACAGGAGCATTGCAGCTGTAATGAAAGTGAGAATGTCCATCAATTTTGTTTTCTTGGTGTATGCTGCCTTTCATGGCTCATCTTCTTGCCTTATAAACTTCAGTTTTGCATTAAAATTGCAGTTATGCGTATTTATTGCGACTTAAAAGATGTAACGCCACTCTTTATTAATATTTAATACTATTTAGTTCCATTCAATAATTCTCTGCACCAAACATGCTAGAATTGGAGTCAAATTAAGACTTCCAAAATGTCATAAACATGTAAAACATTTTTTACAAATACTATAATTCGACCGTCAGGAATTCTACTCCAAAGAAAAAAAAAAGGAAATTAAAAATTATTTTCACAATAAAAATGAAAAAGAAAAAAAAAATTGTTTCTGCCAAGTTCTTCAAAGATTTTACCCACCATACAGCGCTGCAGTCAGTCCCCTGTTCCCACCATTTTTTTTATTTTTTATTTTTTTCCCTTCCTTTTGGGGTATAAACTTAAACAGCCACAAAATTGAGGGGGAAATTAGACCCAAAATCATCCTCAACAACACTGGCAGCAAAGTTCTTTATCTTCAGCTCGGCTTGGAGTAATCTCCAGTGTTCTTCCAATTGCATTAGTACTAAAAATGAAGTCATATTGGGGAGCACTCAATTCTATATAAAACAATGCTCTTTACAACAGCAGAAGAAGCTCCACGAGAAATGGCGCAACTCTTGAATCGACCAAAGAATCAACACTGAAGCTATAACCCCACTCATATAGAAGTATAGTTGGAGAAAAGGGCCATCAAATTATTAAGAGTTTCAGGCAAGAATTTCCTAGCAAACAAGTAACACGGACGTTGATTTCCATTCCACAAGCAAGGTCTAATCTGAATTTCCTTCTGCAGCACAAAATGAACAAGTTTTAGAATCCCGATACACCATAACTTAAAACGAAGAATAGTTTTTCACCATGGTGAACTAACCCTTTCGTTGCTTGTAACATGCACACTATCTACAATAGACTGCAAAAACAATTGAAGAGAAGTGTTAGATCTGCTTCAGTAGTCAACTCACAAATAAACTACCATTCTGCTCCCTGCAGGTCTACATATTTAGGCCACCAGATCAATATTCACAGGGAGCAATAATTTTTGATGACATAAATAACTATAAGATAATTTGAGATATAAAGTATCATTTAGCTCTCTGCAAGTCTATATATTGTGGCCACAATACCAGATCAAGATTCATTTGAACCAATATTTTCGATGAATTATAGTTAATTATAAGATAATTTGAGATGTTATAACTAAAAATATACTGGAACTCTCAGAACAAGGGAAAAAAGTGGAAGCTATAAATTCAAACGATATAAAGTTTGGGAAGAGTGGAGACGCACTGTAATATTTCTCATTAGCTCAAAGGTAACATCCTGTGACCGATATGCTTTTGGGTGCCACTTTCCTTCAGACCAATCAACATGTGTGACGGACCAATTTGCAATTCCAGCCGGATCAAGAATCTGAAATGAGGAAAAGATATTCCCTTTAAATTATCCGAAGTGGGTGGGTATGTCCTAAATTATACAATAAATAATTAGATATAAACAATCCTCACATGGAAAAATGTTGGCAAATAGTGTTCATCAGAATAGCAGTTGCATCCATATTCCATGCCTGGCTGTTTAATCAAAATATACTGATGTCAACAGTGGTTTCAACGAGAATTTCATCTATCAGCCAAATTTCAAAACATAGATTTTTATTCAAAGCCATATACATGTCTACACAAATAAATAAAGATAACCTGAGGCACATAGAAACCTGAGGCACATAGAATCCTCCTAAGGTGGAGTTTTGGTGTTCGACACTCAGTACACTCCATGACATGCGTCTCATAGGCTACATGGTGTGTCCTATTTTATTATACATTTTTAATTTTTTGAAACACTTACTTGACACTTCTCTAGCACTTGTCTACAATAACACCTAGTGCATCTGATATTTTTTTAATCATTTTAATTTCTGACATGGGAGGGAGATGTCCTAAACAAGTCAAGGATTTGGTAAAATAAATATTGATTCCTCCGGTTCAAAAAATTCCAACCCCACAATTCGAAACCAAAGCCAAAAAGGTTTTAATTCATAAAAATAGAAAATCATAAAAATGTAGCTTTAATATATATATTTACACTAACATTATGTGCACCTTCAATTGAGGAGAGCTGTTCGAAAATTTTAATCAATCTGTCAAGTCCTACATTCAGGAAACTGATATGTTGTCATGTCCATGTCGTATGCCGTTGGTACTTTGAAGTCCAGCTACTTGACATCCGCGGTTGGGCTAAAGCCGACTTGGTCCCATGCATAAACAGGTTTTATCATTATCTACCAAAACTCTATACTTATTTTGTCCCATATTTTTGGCACGTTAAATTAGGTGGAAAAAAATAAAAAATAAAAACAACTATGAAATCAGATTTTTAATAAATTTTTATAAAAGTTGAAAAATTATAAATCTTATGAAATATATAATTAAAATTAATCGTTGACTTTAATTTGGGATTAAAATTATATTCTAATTTATGCCAAACATGGGCTAAAATTGGCATCTGCATGCTACTTAGTCTTTGTTTGTCTATCATTATTTCAAAACTCTTATTTTTTCTTAAACTCCTTTTCAACTACACATTCACACAATAAAATGTTTTGCATATAAATCGAAAATATTTTCCTATTTTTTAATCATACATTATTCAAAAATTCACCATTCCAAATTCATTTTCATTGAATAATGTTAGACAAATAGTGGGCTTAAAATCACTGAGATAATTCTTTTACTAATTAGTCTATCCTTTAGGCTATTTATGAATAATCAAATGATCTAGAATGCGTATGGGCGTGTACATATGCATAAACTTTTTCATCCACATCCTTACAGGTGTATATTTTGTAATGCCCGAATAATTATAAACCCGGAGAGTTACCTAAAGCCATTTCTTGACATGAATATTACTGAAGCTATAGTAAAATTTTATAATTTGAAACAAACAATCTAATGTGAACAAGGCCTGGTTTATATATTAAAAAATACTTAAAATAATAAACTTTTTTATGGAAAATCAGCGACCTTACAATGAGTCAAGTAAACGTAAGAACATGTTCATGTTTCCAAACTTAAATGCATAAAATAAATTGATTTGGTCTCCAAAAAAAAAAAAAATCCCTTTATTTTATAATCTGAGTCAATGCTTGGTTAATCCCAGGCACAGCAACACCACTTATGATCCAACCACTTAGGATCCAACCATAATTTTGCATATCTGATATTAAATTTTCATTATATGATGTTACAGTAAACATGAATACACAAGGAACATTACATTTCAAGATTGATTATAAGCATCAACCCACATATTAATAACTTCAAATCTGAATAATTTCTTTTGAAAAATCATGCTATTTGATTTTGAGCCTAACATGTAGTGCGGGATAAAGTGACTTAAAATATTATAGTTTTGACTGGTTGATTCTGTCATTCACAAACATAAATCTCAGTGAACAACACTACAGGCCAGGTTAGCGGTTGGCTTTGAGACTTATTGTCAGATGGCTGGTCAAAGAACTGCAGTAGCAATCCGTCGCCTGTAAGAACTTCAGTAGCAATCCGTCGTCTGTAAAAACTTCTTTCTCCATCTGACAGATGCAAATATTGATTGTATACGAATCATATGATTTAGGTTGAATTGGTTTTGCACTTGCAACAATAGGACGTATGTGAGAAACTGGCGGATGACCTGATCATGCAATCAGCCTTGTATTTTCTGTTTCTTACATTTGAATGAATATTTAGCTAATCTGACATTTTTCCCCATTTTCCACATGCAGGTTCATCATGCTACGATCATAGCCATATGGTTTGTAAATTCCATCAAAATAAATATGTTTTGAGATTTATTCGGCAATCAATGAAGAAGGTACTCTCCTGAAACTTGCTCTTTATGGACATTGTACAGTGATTGTGGACGTAAAATATGAAAATACATTAATTAGATAATTTTTTGGTAATAGCAGCACTACAAGGACTTGTTTGGTATGTTGGATTGAACAAACTAAACGGGATAAAGGAAAAAAGGTGTACGATAATTTCTGATTTTGTCATGCCCAATCTAATATACCAAATATGTTTCATAAATATGCGTATGTTACATGTTTTAAGATTTTTATAAATTGATAATTAGTTTTATTTTAATAATAATAATAATAATAATAATAATAATAATTATTATTATTATTATTATTATTTTTGTCTTAAATGAACATCTGCTAAAAATGTGTAGTTCCATTGTCATTTGAATCCTCGTAGTAACTAATAAAATTATCGCATTTAGCTTTTGATAGGGTTTTATATAAATCTAAAATCTTTAAAATTTAGGGGTTGGCATTCTAAATCTCAACCCATTAAAGATTTTGACACCATTAAGATGAACGATTTATATAACTTATTGAGAAGACCGAAAGATTAACCACAACTCACTCTTTTCAGATTAATTCTTAGATAAAATTTAGCTAATTCTTCAGATTATTTCTATCTTTTGGATTTAGATATTGGGACCCTTTACTTGCATATAGCCAATAAATTCACGGAAAAGATATATTTGTTCCTTGCCTGCCGCCCCCAGCAGAAAAGAAAAGGATTTAACACTTTCAGTTAAACTCGACAGTATTAAAGAAGAAAAAAGAAACAAAATAATCATTTATAGTGTCTAGTACTGCATCCAAATACGTATGTTTCTACAGTTTTGTTCGAAAGGTAACAGAAACTGTAGTATGGTGCATATCTGAAAATGTATCATTTCAAAAGTAAACTACCATTCTTATTCATATTTGAGTTTGTTTTGATTCTTACCCTCATAACTACAGTGACATTAGCTTATTCAGACAAGACTGCGAAGATAATTACGCAACAGACTTGGATTCTTCTTGAATTTTGGGACTTGTTCGAGGGCTTCAACGTACGCGGGTGATAATCTCCCAGTTATTTTGGAGATATGGGCAATTGCACGCAAACGGTCTCTACACCGAAGAATCTTCATCTTTGGTTGAGGCTCTGGCGGCGGATCGAAGATGAGCATTACACAAGATGCGATGAGAGGTCGTGTTGTTTCATCTCGACCAGCAGTTGGGATGGCTGGGGAAGAAGCTGGTGGTATGGCTGGGGAAGAAGCTAGCGGGATGGCTGAGGAAGAAGACAGGAGCATTGCAGCTGTAATGAAAGTGAGAATGTCCATCAATTTTGTTTTCTTGGTGTACGCTGCCTTTCATGGCTCATCTTCTTGCCTTATAAACTTCAGTTTTGCATTAAAATTGCAGTTATGCGTATTTATTGCGACTTAAAAGATGTAACGCCACTCTTTATTAATATTTAATACTATTTAGTTCCATTCAATAATTCTCTGCACCAAACATGCTAGAATTGGAGTCAAATTAAGACTTCCAAAATGTCATAAACATGTAAAACATTTTTTACAAATACTATAATTCGACCGTCAGGAATTCTACTCCAAAGAAAAAAAAAAGGAAATTAAAAATTATTTTCACAATAAAAATGAAAAAGAAAAAAAAAATTGTTTCTGCCAAGTTCTTCAAAGATTTTACCCACCATACAGCGCTGCAGTCAGTCCCCTGTTCCCACCATTTTTTTTATTTTTTATTTTTTTCCCTTCCTTTTGGGGTATAAACTTAAACAGCCACAAAATTGAGGGGGAAATTAGACCCAAAATCATCCTCAACAACACTGGCAGCAAAGTTCTTTATCTTTAGCTCGGCTTGGAGTATACTCCAATGTTCTTCCAATTGCATTAGTACTAAAAGTGAAGTCATATTGGGGAGCACTCAATTCTATATAAAACAATGCTCTTTACAACAGCAGAAGAAGCTCCACGAGAAATGGCGCAACTCTTGAATCGACCAAAGAATCAACACTGAAGCTATAACCCCACTCATATAGAAGTATAGTTGGAGAAAAGGGCCATCAAATTATTAAGAGTTTCAGGCAAGAATTTCCTAGCAAACAAGTAACACGGACGTTGATTTCCATTCCACAAGCAAGGTCTAATCTGAATTTCCTTCTGCAGCACAAAATGAACAAGTTTTAGAATCCCGATACACCATAACTTAAAACGAAGAATAGTTTTTCACCATGGTGAACTAACCCTTTCGTTGCTTGTAACATGCACACTATCTACAATAGACTGCAAAAACAATTGAAGAGAAGTGTTAGATCTGCTTCAGTAGTCAACTCACAAATAAACTACCATTCTGCTCCCTGCAGGTCTACATATTTAGGCCACCAGATCAATATTCACAGGGAGCAATAATTTTTATGACATAATTAACTATAAGATAATTTGAGATATAAAGTATCATTTAGCTCTCTGCAAGTCTATATATTGAGGCCACAATACCAGATCAAGATTCATTTAAACCAATATTTTCGATGAATTATAGTTAATTATAAGATAATTTGAGATGTTATAACTAAAAATATACTGGAACTCTCAGAACAAGGGAAAAAAGTGGAAGCTATAAATTCAAATGATACAAAGTTTGGGAAGAGTGGAGTCGCACTGTAATATTTCTCATTAGCTCAAAGGTAACATCCTGTGACCGATATGCTTTTGGGTGCCACTTCCCTTCAGACCAATCAACATGTGTGACGGACCAATTTGCAATTCCAGCCGGATCAAGAATCTGAAATGAGGAAAATATACTCCCTTTAAATTATCCGAGGTGGGTGAGTATGTCCTAAATTATACAATAAATAATTAGATATAAACAATCCTCACATGGAAAAATGTTGGCAAGCAGTGTTCATCAGAATAGCAGTTGCGTCCATATTCCATGCCTGGCTGTTTAATCAAAATATACTGATGTCAACAGTGGTTTCAACGAGAATTTCATCTATCAGCCAAATTTCAAAACATAGATTTTTATTCAAAGCCATATACATGTCTACACAGATAAATAAAGATAACCTGAGGCACATAGAATCCTCCTAAGGTGGAGTTTTGGTGTTCGACACTCAGTACACTCCATGACAAGCGTCTCATAGGCTACATGGTGTGTCCTATTTTATTATACATTTTTAATTTTTTGAAACACTTACTTGACACTTCTCTAGCACTTGTTTACAATAACACCTAGTGCATCTGATATTTTTTTAATCATTTTAATTTCTGACATGGGAGGGAGATGTCCTAAACAAGTCAAGGATTTGGTAAAATAAATATTGATTCCTCTGGTTCAAAAAATTCCAACCCCACAATTCGAAACCAAAGCCAAAAAGGTTTTAATTCATAAAAATAGAAAATCATAAAAATGTAGCTTTAATATATATATTTACAGTAACATTATGTGCACCTTCAATTGAGGAGAGCTGTTCGAAAATTTTAATCAATCTGTCAAGTCCTACATTCAGGAAACTGATATGTTGTCATGTCCATGTCGTATGCCGTTGGTACTTTGAAGTCCAGCTACTTGACATCCGCGGTTGGGCTAAAGCCGACTTGGTCCCATGCATAAACAGGTTTTATCATTTTCTACCAAAACTCTATACTTATTTTGTCCCATATTTTTGGCACGTTAAATTAGGTGGAAAAAAATAAAAAATAAAAACAACTATGAAATCAGATTTTTAATAAATTTTTATAAAAGTTGAAAAATTATAAATCTTATGAAATATATAATTAAAATTAATCGTTGACTTTAATTTGGGATTAAAATTATATTCTAATTTATGCCAAACATGGGCTAAAATTGGCTGCATGCTACTTAGTCTTTGTTTGTCTATCATTATTTCAAAACTCTTATTTTTTCTTAAACTCATTTTCAACTACACATTCACACAATAAAATGTTTTGCATATAAATCGAAAATATTTTCCTATTTTTTAATCATACATTATTCAAAAATTCACCATTCCAAATTCATTTTCATTGAATAATGTTAGACAAATAGTGGGCTTAAAATCACTGAGATGATTCTTTTACTAATTAGTCTATCCTTTAGGCTATTTATGAATAATCAAATGATCTAGAATGCGTATGGGCGTGTACATATGCATAAACTTTTTCATCCACATCCTTACAGGTGTATATTTTGTAATGCCCGAATAATTATAAACCCGGAGAGTTACCTAAAGCCATTTCTTGACATGAATATTACTGAAGCTATAGTAAAATTTTATAATTTGAAACAAACAATCTAATGTGAACAAGGCCTGGTTTATATATTAAAAAATACTTAAAATAATAAACTTTTTTATGGAAAATCAGCGACCTTACAATGAGTCAAGTAAACGTAAGAACATGTTCATGTTTCCAAACTTAAATGCATAAAATAAATTGATTTGGTCTCCAAAAAAAAAAAAAATCCCTTTATTTTATAATCTGAGTCAATGCTTGGTTAATCCCAGGCACAGCAACACCACTTATGATCCAACCACTTAGGATCCAACCATAATTTTGCATATCTGATATTAAATTTTCATTATATGATGTTACAGTAAACATGAATACACAAGGAACATTACATTTCAAGATTGATTATAAGCATCAACCCACATATTAATAACTTCAAATCTGAATAATTTCTTTTGAAAAATCATGCTATTTGATTTTGAGCCTAACATGTAGTGCGGGATAAAGTGACTTAAAATATTATAGTTTTGACTGGTTGATTCTGTCATTCACAAACATAAATCTCAGTGAACAACACTACAGGCCAGGTTAGCGGTTGGCTTTGAGACTTATTGTCAGATGGCTGGTCAAAGAACTGCAGTAGCAATCCGTCGTCTGTAAGAACTTCTTTCTCCATATGATAGATGCAAATATTGATTGTATATGAATCATATGATTTAGGTTAAATTGGTTTTGCGCTTGCAACAATAGGACGTATGTGAGAAACTGGCGGATGACCTGATCATGCAATCGGCCTTGTATTTTCTGTTTCTTACATTTGAATGAATATTTAGCTAATCTGACATTTTTTCCCCATTTTTCACGTGCAGGTTCATTATGCTACGATCATAGCCATATGGTTTGTAAATTCCATCAAAATAAATATGTTTTGAGATTTATTCGGCAATCAATGAAGAAGGTACTCTCCTGAAACTTGCTCTTTATGGACATTGTACAGTGATTGTGGACGTAAAATATGAAAATACATTAATTAGATAATTTTTTGGTAATAGCAGCACTACAAGGACTTGTTTGGTATGTTGGATTGAACAAACTAAACGGGATAAAGGAAGAAAGGTGTACGATAATTTCTGATGTTGTCATGCCCAATTTAATATACCAAATATGTTTCATAAATATGTGTGCGTTACATGTTTTAAGATTTTTATAAATTGATAATTAGTTTTATTTTTAATAATAATAATAATAATAATAATAATAATTTTATTATTATTATTATTATTTATTTATTTATTTATTATTATTTTATTGTCTTAAATGGCAATCAATGAAGAAGGTACTCTCCTGAAACTTGCTCTTTATGGACATTGTACAGTGATTGTGGACGTAAAATATGAAAATACATTAATTAGATAATTTTTTGGTAATAGCAGCACTACAAGGACTTGTTTGGTATGTTGGATTGAACAAACTAAACGGGATAAAGGAAAAAAGGTGTACGATAATTTCTGATTTTGTCATGCCCAATCTAATATACCAAATATGTTTCATAAATATGCGTATGTTACATGTTTTAAGATTTTTATAAATTGATAATTAGTTTTATTTTAATAATAATAATAATAATAATAATAATAATAATTATTATTATTATTATTATTATTTTTGTCTTAAATGAACATCTGCTAAAAATGTGTAGTTCCATTGTCATTTGAATCCTCGTAGTAACTAATAAAATTATCGCATTTAGCTTTTGATAGGGTTTTATATAAATCTAAAATCTTTAAAATTTAGGGGTTGGCATTCTAAATCTCAACCCATTAAAGATTTTGACACCATTAAGATGAACGATTTATATAACTTATTGAGAAGACCGAAAGATTAACCACAACTCACTCTTTTCAGATTAATTCTTAGATAAAATTTAGCTAATTCTTCAGATTATTTCTATCTTTTGGATTTAGATATTGGGACCCTTTACTTGCATATAGCCAATAAATTCACGGAAAAGATATATTTGTTCCTTGCCTGCCGTCCCCAGCAGAAAAGACAAGGATTTAACACTTTCAGCCAATAAATTCACGGAAAAGATATATTTGTTCCTTGCCTGCCGCCCCCAGCAGAAAAGAAAAGGATTTAACACTTTCAGTTAAACTCGACAGTATTAAAGAAGAAAAAAGAAACAAAATAATCATTTATAGTGTCTAGTACTGCATCCAAATACGTATGTTTCTACAGTTTTGTTCGAAAGGTAACAGAAACTGTAGTATGGTGCATATCTGAAAATGTATCATTTCAAAAGTAAACTACCATTCTTATTCATATTTGAGTTTGTTTTGATTCTTACCCTCATAACTACAGTGACATTAGCTTATTCAGACAAGACTGCGAAGATAATTACGCAACAGACTTGGATTCTTCTTGAATTTTGGGACTTGTTCGAGGGCTTCAACGTACGCGGGTGATAATCTCCCAGTTATTTTGGAGATATGGGCAATTGCACGCAAACGGTCTCTACACCGAAGAATCTTCATCTTTGGTTGAGGCTCTGGCGGCGGATCGAAGATGAGCATTACACAAGATGCGATGAGAGGTCGTGTTGTTTCATCTCGACCAGCAGTTGGGATGGCTGGGGAAGAAGCTGGTGGTATGGCTGGGGAAGAAGCTAGCGGGATGGCTGAGGAAGAAGACAGGAGCATTGCAGCTGTAATGAAAGTGAGAATGTCCATCAATTTTGTTTTCTTGGTGTACGCTGCCTTTCATGGCTCATCTTCTTGCCTTATAAACTTCAGTTTTGCATTAAAATTGCAGTTATGCGTATTTATTGCGACTTAAAAGATGTAACGCCACTCTTTATTAATATTTAATACTATTTAGTTCCATTCAATAATTCTCTGCACCAAACATGCTAGAATTGGAGTCAAATTAAGACTTCCAAAATGTCATAAACATGTAAAACATTTTTTACAAATACTATAATTCGACCGTCAGGAATTCTACTCCAAAGAAAAAAAAAAGGAAATTAAAAATTATTTTCACAATAAAAATGAAAAAGAAAAAAAAAATTGTTTCTGCCAAGTTCTTCAAAGATTTTACCCACCATACAGCGCTGCAGTCAGTCCCCTGTTCCCACCATTTTTTTTTTATTTTTTTCCCTTCCTTTTGGGGTATAAACTTAAACAGCCACAAAATTGAGGGGGAAATTAGACCCAAAATCATCCTCAACAACACTGGCAGCAAAGTTCTTTATCTTTAGCTCGGCTTGGAGTATACTCCAATGTTCTTCCAATTGCATTAGTACTAAAAGTGAAGTCATATTGGGGAGCACTCAATTCTATATAAAACAATGCTCTTTACAACAGCAGAAGAAGCTCCACGAGAAATGGCGCAACTCTTGAATCGACCAAAGAATCAACACTGAAGCTATAACCCCACTCATATAGAAGTATAGTTGGAGAAAAGGGCCATCAAATTATTAAGAGTTTCAGGCAAGAATTTCCTAGCAAACAAGTAACACGGACGTTGATTTCCATTCCACAAGCAAGGTCTAATCTGAATTTCCTTCTGCAGCACAAAATGAACAAGTTTTAGAATCCCGATACACCATAACTTAAAACGAAGAATAGTTTTTCACCATGGTGAACTAACCCTTTCGTTGCTTGTAACATGCACACTATCTACAATAGACTGCAAAAACAATTGAAGAGAAGTGTTAGATCTGCTTCAGTAGTCAACTCACAAATAAACTACCATTCTGCTCCCTGCAGGTCTACATATTTAGGCCACCAGATCAATATTCACAGGGAGCAATAATTTTTGATGACATAAATAACTATAAGATAATTTGAGATATAAAGTATCATTTAGCTCTCTGCAAGTCTATATATTGTGGCCACAATACCAGATCAAGATTCATTTGAACCAATATTTTCGATGAATTATAGTTGATTATATGATAATTTGAGATGTTATATCTAAAAATATACTGGAACTCTCAGAACAAGGGAAAAAAGTGGAAGCTATAAATTCAAATGATATAAAGTTTGGGAAGAGTGGAGACGCACTGTAATATTTCTCATTAGCTCAAAGGTAACATCCTGTGACCGATATGCTTTTGGGTGCCACTTTCCTTCAGACCAATCAACATGTGTGACGGACCAATTTGCAATTCCAGCCGGATCAAGAATCTGAAATGAGGAAAAGATATTCCCTTTAAATTATCCGAAGTGGGTGGGTATGTCCTAAATTATACAATAAATAATTAGATATAAACAATCCTCACATGGAAAAATGTTGGCAAGCAGTGTTCATCAGAATAGCAGTTGCGTCCATATTCCATGCCTGGCTGTTTAATCAAAATATACTGATGTCAACAGTGGTTTCAACGAGAATTTCATCTATCAGCCAAATTTCAAAACATAGATTTTTATTCAAAGCCATATACATGTCTACACAAATAAATAAAGATAACCTGAGGCACATAGAAACCTGAGGCACATAGAATCCTCCTAAGGTGGAGTTTTGGTGTTCGACACTCAGTACACTCCATGACAAGCGTCTCATAGGCTACATGGTGTGTCCTCTTTTATTATACATTTTTAATTTTTTGAAACACTAACTTGACACTTCTCTAGCACTTGTCTACAATAACACCTAGTGCATCTGATATTTTTTTAATCATTTTAATTTCTGACATGGGAGGGAGATGTCCTAAACAAGTCAAGGATTTGGTAAAATAAATATTGATTCCTCCGGTTCAAAAAATTCCAACCCCACAATTCGAAACCAAAGCCAAAAAGGTTTTAATTTATAAAAAATAGAAAATCATAAAAATATAGCTTTAAAATATATATATATTTACATTAACATTATGTGCACCTTCAATTGAGGAGAGCTGTTCGAAAATTTTAATCAATCTGTCTAGTCCTACATTCAGGAAACTGATATGTTGTCATGTCCATGTCCTTGCCTGTGTCCCATGTCCAGATTGTGCAAAATGACATGGCCATTTTTACAGAATTCTTTGTCGTCTTAACATGTTTCCAACTTTTGTTCACTCGTAAAACAGTTCACTGAGAGATTTTCGATGCATGTTCCATATGGTTGGTACCTTATAAGCCTACCACTTTTGAGTCCAATCTAATCATCTATCAGATGATGTACGAAATGGTAACTCACTCTGTGTTGATGATCGATTGAAGTATTGTACATTTGATGCTAAATGCATTATTGTTTTTGCTCACATGGTTTGTTTATAAAAAGTTTATACTTAGGACACAATTAGTATAGGCCAATATTATTCAAAGATATATTCTAACCAGTGCTTGAGAAAGAATCAAATTGTTCAAAAATAACTGAAATCTTGGTAGATGTAACTATATGAAGAAGAAGCAAATTAAAGTGCCGCCAGAAAGAAATAATAATAAGCCCAATTGTGATCACCTTGCAATAAATCCTAAATTTCGTATAGTAGAGACTATCAGCCATGATTATAGTAGCATGCTGCCGCTTCATTGTGAACCACTGCAATGTCCAGAAAGAAACAACTCATAAGAAGAGAATGTAAACATGCTGACACTGAGCAAACTACAGTCAGGTTAATTAGAACCCAAATGTCAACCTGACTACATTGCAGATGTGTATGATAATATAATCCGTGGGTGACTTATAAATTTGAATTGGGAGTACAATCAAATTAATTCATTCTTTTTACCCCAGAAAGGTTATAGAATTGTCCGTGCTCATACACCATTTGGAAATCCAACAAAACGAAATTGTGCATATCTTTTCTTTTTTATTCTATGTGTAAGTTGACAATCGCAATCTCATATATGGAAATAAAAAAACGACTTGCGAGTAATAAACAATATTAGCTTCTTCCCTTCCTTATAAATTTGAATTGGGAGTACAATCAAATTAATTCATTCTTTTTACCCCAGAAAGGTTATAGAATTGTCCGTGCTCATACATCATTTGGAAATCCAACAAAACGAAATTGTGCATATCTTTTCTTTTTTATTCTATGTGTAAGTTGACAATCGCAATCTCATATATGGAAATAAAAAAACGACTTGCGAGTAATAAACAATATTAGCTTCTTCCCTTTATTATTAACCATTTTTCAGAAGAAAACAATAGAAATCAGAGAGGCTTGACGTCCAGGGCCACATGGGCCCTGGACGTCCACGGGTGCCAAAGGTGGGAGGCCTGTTCCGACAGGCTCCCCACCTATGGGGGGGGGGGCATGGACGTCCAGGGCCCATGTGGCCTTGGACAAGGGGCTTTCCCCTAGAAATGATTGTCACAAACAATGAACTGTATCAAAATATAAAACCACACCTGTGCACCCTTTCGAAAGTCCTTCTTCTCAACTTCGGGTAGCATGTGCTCAGAATACCTTCCACTTCCATGAGGACCAGGATCCTCAAAGCTGCAAATACAGGATTGACGACTATTTCTCTTACTTATATTTAAATGAAGGTGACTAAAACTACTGTAATCTTAATGAACTAACATATTGAACTTTTGAAATTTGATTTTGTTTATAAGATCAAACAAAAAAAGAAAATGCAATATCATGCATTATATTTTCATTTATCTTTACTTAGCACCAGCTGATCGTTTTTGGGGATTCTACTGTTTTTTTTTTTTTTTTGAAAGAAAAATTATGAGAAAATTTTAATAATTCTCTAATTTATTTATTTTCCTAGGGTACAGAATTTGATAAAGAAAACTGCATATGTTCAAATAGAAGTTTTCGGTTTTCATCTTATTTTATATTATATGATGTGCTGAATTAATGTTATTTTAATGATCAGCATTTAATAGGATATTAAGTTGATCCAGAGATCTGTTTTCGCGTGCTTATTTGAAGTATAGTTAGTAAGGTTCTTTTAAAGACTAGCCAAATGAGGGCCCAATCTATTGCCACCGACAAGGAAATAATGGCAGTCCAGAAACAACAGGCTTACCTGTCTACAAAGCTAACATTTGTGTACAAGAGATAGTTGTAGATGTAGTCAAAATTACGAAGTGGTATGCAACTGCAGTTCATGAAAAATGTTTAATCAGAAAGCAACTAGTTAATGAGTTCCCAAAATTGAAGGGGAACAGGACACAACAACAATGGCGTTATCATCTAGTCACCTGTCAGAAAGTAGTACAAAATGCAGGTTATCAGGATCCTCGAGTGCATTTGCTAAAAGACGTTTTTCTGCATCAACCATCGATATTGTCCCCCATACTACCTACATAAATGAGTTAATAAAAATGTTCAGCTAAAGGCAATGTCAGGTCTGCCAGCATCTGGCATGTGTTTCCACCTAGTCCAGAATACAAAAACAAATAAAAATCACAAACATAATGCATATAAATATCCTAATGGAAACATAGCCACTAATTGCATGATATAACGAGATCTAAGCAATGGTCGTGGAAGGAGGATCATTAGCTCCTACTATCAAAACAAATGCAACTCTATGTTAATGTAGCATTAATAGATTGTTCTACATATAAGATTGTCTACACTGAATTCAGGATTGAAAATATATATCAAGTCAAAATATGTTCCTGACACTTCATTCAATTTCATAAATCTAACAAGTCCCCAAGCATTACATGCAGCTTATGCAGTTCCTTGGATGCACTACAACCAAATATAGCACTGACGCCTGAGCCACATTTGATAGAACTTACCCATTCCCATACCCTTCTAATAAATGTTACCACAATGATAAGAAATAGCCCCTATTCCAGGAAGGTTTTCCAATATCCCATGCATGTTTTTCAATGAACTGCTTCCTCACCAATGACTTCAGCATTGAACATAGACACAATCCTTAAAAAAACAAAGAGGATTCCATGGAGACCAAGGCACTTTATTGTGCAGCACTACAATTGAATTTAAACTTCAGCATGTAATGTGGCAAAGGGAAAAATATGAAAAAATCTTGGAAAATGAATGGCATATGGTTGTTGTACATGAAGACCCTGATTTAGAAGCATATTTGAGAAGGACTTGACCTGAATTCAGACCCTCGGGACTTTTTAAGCCACAGAAAAGAAAATATTCAGAAATAAGGAGAGACAAATAAGAAAGTACTACATTCTTTAGGGAAATGGCTTTGTAATCCCTCATTTAAAATATTTATCAATATTTTAGACACAGTGGACATATAGTCAGGTGACCCACAGTAAAGTTTTGCAAAAGAAGACATGCAAAGAAAAATCAACAACTTCAAATAATGATACAAAAATTAGAAACTCTAAGCTTGATCTTGTAACATGAGCATTTTACACAATAAACAAGCACAGAAGAAATTATACTTTCATCATTGCCCAAATTATTAAGCTTGTAAAATACTACAAATCTCTTAAACACTCTTATTTACTTGGATAAGTTAAACCATAAAATAAGTTCTGCAAGGAGATATACACCTTTCCACTGCGAATCTCCCGATTGAAAAAGTAACGGCTGAAATGCACTGGTTTGTCTTTTGATGCGTGCACATAGACAGAGAACTTACCTTCATGGCCCTGCCAATTAAGTAAGAAAACTTGAGTAAAATTTGTGCAAACTGAGCCCTTGTTTGGGCTCTATTTAAATTTTAATACATTTCTTTCTTTCTGCTTTTCAACCAAACATTCTTTAATAAAATAAAATCACACATAAACCCAAAACTTTTTCCTTCTTTTTAATTACACATTCTCCAAAAAATTACTATTCCAAAATACATTTTTCCCAAAACTTCATTAAAATGGAGCCCAAACAATATCTGAGTGTAACGAGTTCTATTCAATTTAAAGTTTCATTCAAGTTACAAACAGGAACGCCAAAGACGTGCATAACACAAGGAAAATTAAATCCCACCCTTTCCCTCAAGAAGGATCAACCTGATTATTCTATCCTTTCCTTTTGGGCTGAGAATTCGCTCTCATTTCTGTAAATCAGGGTTAGTTTATGTAGACTTGAGCTTGCGAGTAAAAATCGCGAGGCCATTTAATGTCCATTTGATCTTTTAACAAACGTTAATTGCATTCACAAACTTTTGTCTTGTGCTCAATCGATCTTAATGCCCTTTGGTATCTCTCTCTTTCCATTTCTTTGCAGTCTTACTTCTCACGATAAAACTGAAAAAAAGAGACCAACTTATACACTACTCATTCAGAAAGATGGAACCTCAAAGCATCATTTTAGGACCAGACACAGATACTTGAACAAGTGAACTGATAGAGTATCTGCTGAGAATAAGCCACATAAAATTCAAAACCAATCTGAAGTACTAACCCGTCATTAATTTTGCTCCAGGTATCAGCTGAATAACTTATTTATTCAGGTATGGCCTACATAGATACATATCGGCAGGTGCTGTGGTGGATAATAAGCAAAGTTTAACACCACAACCACAAAAAGAAGCACCTTCAGTCAGTTAGACTAGAAAACGAAGTTAAGGCTATGTTTGAGCCACATTTTTTCAAAAAATACATTCTTAAATAGTGATTTGACATAATTTCAATCACACATTCTTCAATAAAATAATATTACACGTAAAACCAAAACTTTTCTTTATTTTTTAACCACACATTTCCCATCAATACAATATTCAAAAATGCATTCCTAGGGATATAATGTGGCGCAAACAAGGGCTAAATGTAGACTTTCTTTCATATCCTTTTCATTTAGAAACAACTTTTCCTCAAATATTTTCAGCAACCAACGATACCAAAAATCAATGTTAGGTGGAAATTATACTCTTTGTCCTCCTTTTGGCTTGTTTTCCTATCCTCTAAATGCATACCATTAATCATACTTAAGAATTTCAGAATCAGTTGTCCCCGTAGCCAAAAAAAAAAGGCTCAACCACTAGGTCTATGGGATTAAGAGCTCAGTAAAACACCAAAAAAGGATATTCAACTATTCAAGAGTCCAACTCAAGCACACAACTGACTATCAACTTGATTGATCCTCTTTTTCATTTTTCTGACGGACAAAGGGCAGAAGATTGCAGTGAATAAGTTTGCAACTGTGTCAGTCATAATCTACCATATATGCTAAGTAAATGAAGAGATCCATGAAAAACTGCTGCTTTATGGTTTGAGAAGATTTTAAAGCATATAAAGATTTTTTGATCTAGTAAAACATTTCGGGATTGTTTGACAATTTTTTTTGACAAAAGTTTTAGTAGAATTTGACAAAAATTGATGTAACGTATCGTTAAGTTAAATACTCGTTGATGAAGAATTAGAAGGGATATTATTATATTTAATTTCTAATTTTAATGCGTATTTTAGGCAATTTTATTAGGGTTGATTTATTAACTTCTGTAGTATTTTCTTACTTAGAATAGGGTCTTTTGAAATTTTATATAAAGAGGTCTTATTGGATGCAATTGACAACCTCTGAATGAATAAAAATTTGAGATTCTTCCCCTAATTTCTCTCTATTCGCTCACTCTTTTTATCTCTTCTCCCCCTCCTTTCTCCTCTTCTCTCCCCTTTTTCCCCTTCTTTTATAATTCTCCTCTTGCATCTTACATCAGTCATGCCATGTGTCTTCAGACTGCCACTCTTCTTTGTATGTCTTAATATAATCACTAAAAGGCACTATGTTTGCATAGATTGGTTTTTATCAATTTACAAAAGCAGCACATAGTAAAAAACTATATACTTAAAATAATAATTATAAGACGTGTAAAGGAGATAGGAGCTTTTATCATGAAAGAAGTACCTGAAAAAATTTATCCCACAGCTTCTCAAAAGGTAAAGCACCTGGTGTCAGAAACAAGAATGCGATTTTGGGAGTCTTTGGTATAACAGGCGGTATATCCAGAATATCTCTAATTACGACACGAGAAGCAATCTCATCATCCGTGAGTTCCCTTGAGGGAGCAGGTGGAAGCCAATTTTGCAATGCCTTGCAACCATGAGATGAGAACACATAGCAGGCAGCAGAATTCTGAGGTGGATACACATAAGCACAAACTAAGAACAGACTAACTAAAGAAACCAATACAATAATCCATGTTGGCTTCTTTAAAGGACTGCGGTGGCGATGGGGAGGCAATATTTGCCTGTCTTTCATGCGTAGACGCCATGCCAGAGCTGTCATCATCTAGAAATAATGCATCACAGGTTAATCTCACACAAAAAATTGAGATACTGATCAGGTGATCGCCTCAAATTGAAAATGCGATTTTGCTTCCCTGACCTATCCGCCTAAGTCAGACCTCAAGCAGCGAACTGAATAAGAATTCAGTAAGAATCTGAACCTGCAAAGCAGACAGAGCATGAGAATATAATTTCATCAATATTAACTAATATTTTAAACACAAATGAGGCTAAGTTAGCAAAATAATCAATTCACAGCAAATTTTAAATCCAGCTAACCACTAAACAATATCTAGAATACTTTTAAAAAACATTCTAGCTTGAATATGAACTATAGAAGAAGCAAAGGAAAGGAGAAGTGGGACAGTATCTTAATGTAAATGCACCCAACGTTAAGAAACTGAAGAAAACAAAGTTGAAATGGGACCACAAATTACTTTCAAGATTCAACTTTTTAAAGCTGCCTCAATCATCAAGAACCCCAGAAACTCATGGCAACCAAAAAGTCAAAACAAACAGCAGTTTCAATCCGCACAGCACGCAAATCATAAAAAAACCCACGTTAAATTCCAATTCCGTAGACGTACGGACAGATAAATGCAGCCTCATAACATCATTCAATGTATCAATCAGGGTCAATATATAAACAAGAAGCAATACCTAAATGGTTAATCACTGGGTCAGCTGGAATAGAGATCGAGAAGCTGAATCTTAAATCAAATGAATCTGTACATACAAGTATAGCATATGTATGTGAGATCCAGCAATAATAAATAATAGAGTGAGGCTTATACACTTAGCAATTCTGTATGCAATTGAATCTTATCTCTCTATATATATAGACAGATAGGACATATTATGCGTGTAAGCATTTGTACGTTTAGAATTGAACGTTGTTTGGGTCGGTCCAAGCAGCCGACGAAGTTTACAATTTCAAAGATAGACTTGTACATTTGGTGAGGGGTGGGCCCCATTCGCCGGTCAAAGCGTGTGGAAAAGACGAGATGTCAGGTAGGGATGGTGGTGGTCTTCCAATTGTTTCAGCCAGTTTTTTACCTTTAAAATTGGAAGCATTTTTGAAAAATCAATATAACAGTTAGGACCTATTAACCTACAAGGTTAATTTGACAACGTTTGTGCTCCATTATATAAAAAATTATTGTTTTAAATTTATTTTTATTCGGGTATTTTTTTAATAAAATAATTTTACAAATAATTCATTTTTTTTAATATTTTAATCACAGATTCTTGAAAAAATTACTATTATAGAATTTTTTTTCCCAAAATATAGGGTTTAAACAAATCCTTACTACCAATTAGTACGACTTGTGGTTAAATATGAAACAACGACGAAAGCCCCAAAATTGAAACCCTAACACGATACTCACCAAAAATTATAAATTTATGCTAATTTCTTTCATATTATTTGAACTTGTTAGATTACAAATCAACTTTTCCGGATTTGAAATTTTTGAAGTTCTTGTAAGTGTTAGCTATTTCTTTTTGTTGTGTTTTGATAATTGTCGTGTATTATTGAGTTACATATTGTGTCACTTTTTAGTTAAAAGGCGCATCATGTCACTTTCTAGTTTTCCCTTTTTTAATAGAACATTTTTGCTGTAGCTTGTAATGTGCTTATAAGAACATTTTAACTGATATTTAGATCATACCTCCTGCTTTTTATTTTGATTATGAATTATGATTGTACATTTAAAAGTGACATAATATCATTTTTTTTAATTAAAAGGTCACATGACATGTCATATGATTGACTTACAATTATAATAATGTATATATGTTTTTTTGTATGTGTGTGTCCTTATAGGTCGTCATGTTTTATATAACTTCACATTGCATTTATTATTTCGATAGCGACTTTCAACAATGTTACAAGTTGATAGTTGGAGGTTCTCTAGTCTATCTCTTTTTCTATGGTCATGTTTGATTCAATCTAACTGGTAATGTTTATAAAGAAATTAGATTGAAGTAAAGTGACATGAGGGCAATGGGAAGACTACTTGTTGACACACTCTTTGCCTATTTTTTTTTTTTTTTGGATACCCAGGTGTCCACCTTACAGCGACTAATCCTGGGGTCTACGATCCAACCCCTCTTCACGCAGACCAGGTAAACCGCGGGTTGTGTCCCAAACTGGCCAGGATTCAAGAGCCCCCAACTGAACTGTCAAAGTGCCGAGCGAGTCAAACCCATGTATGCGCCTTGCCTTCTAAGGAACTCCTGCCTTACAAGAAATATTCTGCCTTCCAGAAGAAAGCCTTGCCTTCCAAGAGCCCCATGAATCGAATCAGCGACATCTGAACTGCCCGCCTTGAAGAACTCCGTCCTTTGCCAGTTGATATACTAATTCCGAGTGTGGTAATATAATTATCAACATTGGATGCATATCTTAAGTTGGAAATATTAAAAAGCTCTTAAAGATACTAAACTTGACGTAACTGCTCAAGTCCGAGCATAATATTTTACGTTATTGATTATTTTTGGAAAATTTTAGACTTCAAGACATACGTGCTCCAATTAGACCACCCATAGAGGGCTGGCCGACTGATTTAAAAATCATAGAGGATTGTAAATTCAATTGAATTGATATGGGATTAGGAAAATCTCTAAGATAATTCTAAACTGAATATGATCGAGATTAATGATCTCTTAAATACTTCGTGGAATTTAGCAATATCTCTCAGATAACCTATAATAAAGAACTCGACATAAACATGAGAATTCATAAATGTCAAATCCCTCCCTTACTTATTTCTAGTTTTCTAATACATTTTTAAATAATTCTTAACTTGTAGATATCAGCAGTCGTGCGATAACATCACTCATCTACCTAAACATTATAAAGTGAATGAACTCGTGAAAATCGTAGGACTTCATCAAGAAATTAAACTTGTGAATATTGTGGATCTTGAGTTCGACATTGCAATCAACATTTTTGAAAACAATCCAAGTTTAACATATTTAAAATAATTTACTGTATATAATTTGCAATCAATATCTCTAAAGGCGAACTTTTACAATCAATTCTAGATGTAATCTACAGTATATATGCCCCCATTTTGACCAGCCCTAATAAAACATAATTTCTTGACATGAATGTTTCATTCTTTCTCATCTGTATATATTTCGTGTTCAGATTTGTTCTCATTTTTGCTTCTTTTTAAATCTTGAAACTTCACAATAATTTTGAGTTGTCAAAGTTCCACTAAACTTCACCCATAGTTTTTAATACACTACCTCAAAAATTTTGATACTTCAAAAATCACTGAGTTATCAAGATTTTTACTACAAGAACAAGAAGAGAGATAGCAAAAATGAGACAACAGATCTGTCCTCGTCTATTTGTTAAGCATAAGCTCCCCGAAAACAACTAACCATTGACCAAGTAAATAATTTCAGATTAAATAAGCACAACTTGACATGCAAGTTATATGGACGCAACGTGCTCTCCGGGGCATATCCCAGTGGTGTAAAAGATAAGAGTGAGACATACTCAGTCTTGCTGACAGTCGCAGTGTGAGAGTTCGATTCCTGAAACATGGATTGAGACTTTTTGTGAGTACCAGTGTACATGCAGTTCTTATTCCCTGATTTGATGGAGCATATCCCCCGATTAACCTCTCTCACGATGCTCCAGAGACGGGGCGGTGGGAAACCCTTAAAGTTGGGGTTCAACCTTTTATATGGACGCAACGTGATTTTGTTCTCTACCCTCTGATACGCATAATCTGCATCCAAATTATAATTAAAAAAAATGGCCACTTAGTTCTTGTAATTGCCATTGATTAATTTGTTCGTTAATTAAAAACTATATAAATTGCAATCATTTAATGCATCGCACTGCATACTTTTCAACATAGAATTTTCATAGGTATGTAACATTTGAATATAGGAAAAAGTTCGCTAATGTTAAGAACATGCTTAATATATTATATTGACTTGACTTGAATGATTGGAAAAGAAAAAGGTATGGCAAATTTAATGGTTATTGTGGCTAATTCAACGCTTTGAAGATATAATAAAGATTTTTAAAATAATAGTTCAGAACGTGGCAGGATAGTAGCGGTGAAATTAAGTCACCCCATAACGTATTGTATCAAACTAAATTCTCCCGATCCATATATGGGTTGCTCAGTCTTTTCCATCAGAGACTTTATTTACCTATTCTTTTCTTCAAAAAATTACTAATTGTTTTTATAAAATAGTTAATTAGTTGAATTTGGTGGTCGTGATGGGTCGATCCAATAGAAAAAAATACATAACATACCAAGTCTAGGAAAAACTAGCACCAAACCACTCGGAACGCTGATTGTACACAGGGATGTTATGCATATCGAGGGTAAAACTTTCCTTGAAATCAGGAAACGATATCCATTAATTGTTTATGAACACATTTTCCATTTGGCATAATCAGCAAGGACCAAAAGAACTGTGCTAAGAGGGATCAGACACTGTTAGAATTAAACATATAATAGGGCAATTGGTTGTATACCGCTCATGCACCATATTAATTAGTTTCCTGGTAGTTTCCTTCAATTATTGTCGGACTTTGGGAGCTTCAATCAAAACTCCAGGAATTCAAGTCCAAATGAGCCAAAATCATTATGTATTAGTACCAAACAACTCTCAAAAAAAATAAATAAATAAAAAATAAAAAATAAAGATTTGTGAAGTTTCTACTTTTTCATCAGTTATTGTGTGTTTGATTACATTTATTTTCCATGGAAAATATCAGTTTTCCATCCAAATTTCTATTTGGAGTGTTTCATTGCTATTTTTTTCCATGGAAAATATTTTGCAACTTTTGAAAATATCCCTAATTTTTGTTGTTTTTAAGGAAAATATTTTCCTTGGGTAGAGGTGGTTTTTATTTTCCACAAAAGATGAAAAATATTTTCTTTTCTAGGTGATATTTTCCATGTCAATCAAACACACTCTTATTGACCGATAAGATATATAGGTTCTTATTGGGATGCTTGTCAAAGCTTTAACTTACCAAGTAAATTTTAAAATAAATAAATTACTTAGTAGTTAAAGTTGAAAGTAAGTAACTGCTTATTTTGACTAGAAGATAACTATGTTTTTAAGTATGTTAAAACTTAAAAATTAAAAAAGTAACATCTATGAACATATTTAGAAGCAAAATGTTACTTAGAATGGAAATATTAGAGTTTATTAACAAATGATAAACAATCATACTTTGAAAAATACAAACCGACGATTGCTCCCAAATCTATTTCTAGGGATGGCAAGGGGACCGTGGCACCTCTCATAACCCCTTGAAAGAAGTGTGTTTCTCAAAAACACTTTAAATGAGTGCTATTTTGAAATATGCTACAAGTAGGGATGATAATTGGGCTCATCGGCTCAGAAAAAGCTCGAGCCCTCTCGACTTGAGGCTCGGACTGAGCCCCATTTTTGGGTGCCGAACAAAACCCGAGCAAGTCCGTGTTGCTCACCTATATTTTAAAAAATAAAATAAAATTAAAGGTAGCATGCTATTGCCAAAAATAGGCAGCAGGTGCTGCCTTGTTTATTTTAAAAAAAAAAAAAAAACCCCAAAGTAAAACCTAGGCCTTCCCGGCTCAGCTCGTAAAGGCTCGAGCCGAAAGTTCAAGTCGAGCCTAATTTTTTTTGTTGAACTTTTGCTCTTCCCGACTCAAGCCTAAAAAAAGTTCGATCATTTTACCTGAACCGAACCCGAGCCTCGAATTTTGGCTCGCGAGGATCATTAATTGTCATGAAAGGACCAAAGAGGAATGAATTGTATTACCTTGAAGGTAATACAATACTTGTACTTGATTCCAGTCTGTTTAATGTCACAAAAATAAATCACAGTTATGGCACAATAGGTTGGGTCACATTGGCAATAAAGGTTTAAAGTTCCTAAGTAACCAAAAATTACTTGGAAAAGATGAAATTGAACTTGTAAATTTTTGTGAGACCTATGTTTTGGGAAAGTCCCATAGGGTAAGCTTTAAAGTGTGTTCTCATAGTACCAATAGGCCATTAGACTATGTTCATGCAGACCT